ATATATATGTATATACATACATTCATTCATTCATTCATTCATTCATTCATTTATTTATTTATTTATTTATTTATTTATTTATTTATTTATTTATTTATTTATTTATTTATTTATTTCTACCACGTACAATATGCACTGTGGATGGCATGGCAAGACAGGTGCTTCTGACATGAAACACCTTTTCAAAGCCGCCATACCAATAAAATGACAAAACAATACAAAAAGTAATCATAATACAATTTGAGAAACAAATGAATAAACTTAGAAAGTAAAAGGCAAGTCAACTTATTAACATTGTGGGAGTTATTGATTCGAGACAACAAATAACGACAGTTATTGATATCACCGTTAGCGCGGTCTTGTGGCCAGACATATACCACCAAGTTGATTCAGTTCTTGACAAAGGGAACCAAGCTGACATGTTGTTTTTAGATTTTGCAAAGGCGTTTGACTCAGTCTCCCATGCCTTACTAGTCCACAAATTGCATATGTATGGTTTCTGCGGCAATCTTCTAACATGGATCAAGTCTTACCTGACAAACCGCCGACAAAGAGTGGTGTATATTTATATTTAAGAGAAATACAATTTACATCAATTGATAATAAAGCTATACTCATGCTTTATATGTACATGTTAGAGAGATTGTACGTACATAGAGTACAACTAACAAGTGCTGAGAGCAGACAGACTGCAGTTCATTGTACAATTATCTTTATCATTTTCTGGCTTCTGAATAAATCAATAAACTGAGCAGCGATGACTGTTGTCGTTTCTGTTTTGATTATTCGTAAGAAATATGCAGAAAAATTGACTGGGTCAACGCAGATAACTCGTAATAATGTTTGGCACAGATCAACATTTTGAGTTCCCATTGGTGAGAGCATCCAAACCAACCGTAAACAGCCATTCTCTTGCCATATCTTGCTTATTGCTGGTATTATGCAGCAATCTTTTTATTTCTTTGAAAAAAAATCGGCTTTAGGGCTTGTTTTTGATTCTGGGTATAGTTCTTAAGTAGTGATGCTATATTGTTGTGTTTGGTGGTGCTCGGGGGGTCAGAGGTCATTGCGGCCATCCTATGATGAGTTTGTGCCGATTTAAACAAAAACTTTGGGCTAAATAAATAAACAATTTGGAGGCCAAGCTGCCCTTTCAATGTGATTTTTTAATAGTTGAACAATCAAATATGCGATTTTTGCCAAATCATTTCTTAGAGGTATACCATATATTTCAATGGGAGCTCGAAATGGTGTCCTGTTGTAAATACAAATAAAACAACATTGTCATTAACCCCTTTAATAGCCCTTCTGCCGTGGAGGCAGCAAAATAAAACTACAATGTATAGCACGTCGGTAAAAGTTTGACATTCGGAAATTTTATTGGTCCTTTTACGCCCTGAGGGATTTCGAAATGTGAAAAACAAGCGCCTTAAATTTAAAAGTAACCTTTCTACCAACTGCACTGTAAGACGGTGCGTCATAGTTCCCGGAACTCAGGCATATTCATTCGGCTTATTAACGGTAATGGGCAACGGACACAACCGGGGAGTGGAGGCGTGTATAAGTAGGCTCGCGACTCCTGATAGTGAGCAAAACTCGCGTGTTTTACATCAGAACACATACCGGCATTGAGAGAGAAGGTTCCACACTGCTAGCGCTGTGCCTGGTACCGCCCTGTTCACAAGCAGCCATGCCCCGGCAGAAGGCCCTCCCGCGGGAGGTTTCCATGCAAGGTAATGCACAGATGCAGCGTTCCAACTTTGTTGGCTGTTTTTCTATTTTTCAGAGTCACTAGTACAGACTTGACTTTGCGTTTGTTTGTTTGTTTATTTTATTTCTTTAGCCAGGAAACACATATCGCCTAAAGGCGCTTTTCAATGTTTCCTGGGGTTTGTGTGTTTGACGTTTCCCTCAAGTTTGACTGTATATCAATGGCCAGGTGGTCCGTATGTAGAGGTAGTCACTAGTACAGGTTTGACTGTATATCAATGGCCAGGTGCTCCTTATGTAGAGGTGGTCACTAGTACAGGTTTGACTGTATATCAATGGCCAGGTGGTCCTTATGTAGAGGTGGTCACTAGTACAGGCTTTACTGTATATCAATGGCCAGGTGGTCCTTATGTAGAGGTGGTCACTAGTACAGGTTTGACTTTATAACAATGGCCAGGTGGTCCTTATGTAGAGGTGGTCACTAGTACAGGTTTGACTGTATATCAATGGCCAGGTGGTCCTTATGTAGAGGTGGTCACTAGTACAGGTTTGACTGTATATCAATGGCCAGGTAGTCCTTATGTAGAGGTGGTCACTAGTACAGGTTTGACTGTATATCAATGGCCAGGTGGTCCTTATGTAGATGTGGTCACTAGTACAGGTTTGACTTTAAGTTCAGTAGTTTGCGTGTTTGACGTTTCCCACCTGGCCGCACGTCAGGTGAGGACCCGGCGTACGTGACGCCGAACGACGCACGCGGAGAACCGGTTTACGTCAACCCGTCAGGTGATCTGGCTGACGCCGAAAACGTCATCTATGAACGCTCCGCAGGTGAGGAATCGTTAAAGTTCCACGTTTTCTTCATGCGTTGGAAAACATACTAAAATCGTGGTACTTTTGTTGTGTCAATAAAGGTTTCATTTCTTCCTTGAAAGAATATACAGAAATATTGTACTTTTATGCCCATGTGAGCACAATGAATTTCAAAACATTTATTTCGAGGAATCTAAAATTGCTCTCCAATGTATATAAATACTACATTTCTGTTGCAGTGTTTCTATATCAATTACCAGTAAGAAAAGTGTATGATAATGTAGAAAAGCTCTCCTGTATCATCTGTTGTCTTTAGCAGACGCGTCGGAAGACGAGCCGGAGTACCTGACTCTTAGAGATGATACAGGCAACAATGGTAACCTAAATTTTATTGTAGTCTGTTAAGGAGCTACGATTATTCTTGCACTCAATAAGGATGGAGAAAATCCTGAGAAGAGATTGCCAAAATGTAGTGCAAGTTCACAGAGATGAACCGAAGTCCACAGATACATGACTTAGCGTTCATCATAAAATGGCAATGGTACTCAGTGTGACTTCCAACATGGCCAAAACATGTTAACTATACACATGAATGATCGAGAAATACTATGAATATTTAGATGTTGAGTGTAAGAAATGTAATTCACCATCAAGACGCAATGACCGTACATGTTGCCGTTATAAAACACCACCGTTTCCCACCCTGTCAGGTGACCAGCCGAGGTACATGACTTTGAAAGTTGATGCTTCAGAAGGGATGAAGACCGCCCGTGAAGTCGGGGAAGGTAAGGACAGCCGTGTTACAGCCTCTTTATTGTGCTCGCCCAAAGCCAAACGCTACGTATATACGGCATCCTTTCTCTACATTACATACACGTGCATAACACTACAACCACTATGCCTACAGCGGCTGCCTAGCCTGCCTTTGCCAAGGCCATGGCCAGGTATTGTTAGAATTTGCTGGTAAAGACTCTTCCAGTTTGGACTGGACTACACATTGCTTCTTATAATAATACAACGTAGTTGTAAAAATGTTGCAAATTAAATCTGTCTCTTCTCACAAACATATTGGGGTTCATCTCTCGTCCACCATGTCCTGGACCACACATATATCTAATATACTAGCCAATGCCTCTAAAAAAGTTTCCACTTTTAGTAAACTTAAATTCAAACTTCCCCGTAAAGTTTTAGAAATTATTTACAAGTCTTTCATTCGGCCCTCACTCGAATATGGCGGCGTTGTTTGGCACAGTTGTACTTCTATAGATTCACAACGTATTGAACGAATGCAATATGAGTGTGCCTTAACTGTAGCCGGAGCGATCAGGGGGTCCTCTTATAATTCTCTACTTACTGAACTAGGATGGGAACAAATGTCTGATCGCCGCCATGTTCAGTCTCTTATCTTATTCTATAAAATCATCTACGGTCACACTCGTCAATACTTAAGAGATTAATACCGCCCCTAGTATCAGACGCCTCTACTTACGAACTTCGTAATAAACTAAATCTTCAGTTGCCAAAATGTACCACAACCCGCTTTAAAAAATCATTCATTCCTTATGCAACGTATCACTGGAACAACCTTACCTTAGCAGACCGTTCACTGAGTTTCCCACGCTTTAAGAAAAAAATGATCAAATCTGTGCGCCCTGTCCCTGTTTCATACTTCAGTATACGGTCCCCGGTACACCTGCGCTCTTCTCACTCGTTTTCGACTTGGTACTCATAGTCTAAACTCTAATCTGTACTCTCGAAACCTGGTATCTAGTTCTGCTTGTACTTGTGGCCACCCCTGTGAAAGTATTCATCATTATCTTCTGAACTGCCCAAAGTTTACTCAATATCGTGTCTCCCTCTTCAGCAATTTAACCGAACTTGTAGGATTTGCCATCAACATCCAAAACCTTCCCGATAATCTCCTAGTACAATTACTGCTTAGAGGTTCCTCTTCTCTGTCGGCTTCTAACAACGCTAAACTCTTACAATGTGTTCAATTGTTTATAAAAGAAACGGAAAGATTTGAGTAACCATCAATTTCTTATCCTACCAGTTTGTTGTTTGACTTGGAATGCCTACTTATTCACTTATCACTTACCTGCATATACTGTTATATATTTGTTACATATTTTATGATTTAGTTATAATGCGGCTTACTTTAGTTTACCTTATTACTCTTATGCTTTGCATGTCTGTATTTGTGACTACATGTATATATCTTTGTAACGATGACGACACAAACATAAGCATTGTAGCTTGAGTATGTCGTCATCCTGTCTTGTTACTAAATGTTATAATAAATAAAATAAAAAATAATACAACGTATTATTATTATTATTATATTTAGTACCACTTTAATGATTGTAAATACTTGGATTGGACATGTAAACAATTTTGTATATATCAATTGCGTACATCAAGTTTTGTTTAGTCCAGTCCAAACTGGTACCTCTATTGTTTTTATTATCACAAATAAGCTCTAGTTTGGTGTTTTTTTAATATATTGATTGTATTGATATTATTGGTTGCAAATGTAGCAGTTTGACTGGTTGTAAATGTTGCAGTTTGATGGTTGTAAATGTTGCAGTTGATGGTTGTAAATGTTGCAGTTTGACTGGTTGTAAATGTTGCAGTTTGATGGTTGTAAATGTTGCAGTTTGACTGGTTGTAAATGTAGCAGTTTGATGGTTGTAAATGTTGCAGTTTGATGGTTGTAAATGTAGCAGTTTGACTGGTTGTAAATGTAGCAGTTTGACTGGTTGTAAATGTAGCAGTTTGATGGTTGTAAATGTTGCAGTTTGATGGTTGTAAATGTCGCAGTTTGACTGGTTGTAAATGTTGCAGTTTGATGGCTGTAAATGTTGAAGTTTGATGGTTGTAAATGTTGCAGTTTGATGGTTGTAAATGTTGCAGTTTGATGGTTGTAAATGTTGCAGTTTGATGGTTGTAAATGTTGCAGTTTGATGGTTGTAAATGTTGCAGGTTCTGAGCAGCCTCCGGTTGAAGCAGATGTTCTTGCCGCAGGGGATTCTGGGATTCTCAAACGCCTGTACCAACGCATGACGGGTAAGTTGTATCCGTCCTTATCTATTCATCTGTTGTATTTTTATCATGTTTAAGTTCACTAAATATATATATATATATATATATATATATATATATATATA